GAGAGAGAGAGAGAGAGACAGAGACAGAGACAGAGACAGAGAGATTGTTTTGCGGAGCGGGTTGTCATGTATTTATTAATTATTAATTAGGGGGGATAGGGAGTGGGGAGGGGGGGGATTGTTTTCTCGTGTCTGAGCAAAATGTGCATCTTGGGAATCATATGACCTTATGCAGTTGCGAGCACCGTAAAACCTCTACTAAAACTAAAACTAAAAGCTTCTTGGGAAGGGGTAGTTTTAGTTGGAGGTTCACTTTTGTCCTTCTCCAAGGTACTTGAATTAAATTACTTGAATCTAGAACTGGGATCTTATGAAGACGGGGTGTCCTATGCTTCCTCGCCCCTCCTCATGAGCGTCCATTTCAGTGGGGCTGATTGTCTCCATCATCAGCCTTCTCCAAGGTGTATAAAAATAATACGTGAGGTACAAACTGATTCTGGATTTCATATTTATATTATGATATTTAAAATTATCAGGTAGTGTGTCATGTCTTGGATACTTTGAAGGCAAATGGAAAAAAGATAAACGTTAAGGGGACATATATTGGTATGATGTACTGACCACCTGATTTTTAAACAGAGCACAAATGGTCGGGGCTATCCCGAAAAATGCTGTTTTGAGAAAAACGAAGATAAAGTTTTTGCCCCCTGTTCAGTTTCTTTAAAATACAAGGAGAGTTTTCTCTATAATCAAACAAATATACACACAAATGAAACCAAACTTCTCCTATAAGTAGAGCAATGCCCACTTTTGGTGTAGGTCAAGATTTTTTGAAATCCCCGAAATCTGGGTTAGACCTAGCCCGCTTGTCCTTAAAAGCGACCAAACTTTTTAAATCATACAAAGATCAGCTCACGCCATCATTTCTGCTTTTATTTCAATAGATAAACTATTAGAAAATGTCGATTTGTTAAAATTAAAGCGCAATGTAATGTTTGTCTGTTGCTGTAAAGTTTGTATTTGTAAAGCGCTCAGAACATGTTTTTATCGGGATTAAGCGCTAAGGATCGCTACCTTACAATTTCAAAGTTCTATCGGAAGTTTTTGGCCGTGTTCAGTTTTTAGGCCTATGGGGTCAAAATCAAATGTATTGTCAGTTCTATCAAAATCGTTAGATTGTTCGGAGTCGTTACAAAAATATTCAAAGGATCGCATTCATGAGTGGTTGGTGGGTGCTCTGGTGTGGTTTGCTCCTTCTTTCCTATCAATTATATTTTTTTTAAATATTGTCTTTATCTCTCCTTCTTCTTTTTTATGTTTGTTACTCTCTTGTAACACTTCTATTCTTCTGGCGCTCATATGACCTTATGCAGTTGCGAGCGCTGTAAAACTTCTACTAAAACTAAAATAAGAATCGCATTCGAAAAAGCTTGACACGTTGTGAATCTCAACATTTTTAACGTCAAGTTTCTCAGAACTAGGTACTGAGATGGTAAAACTTTGTACTTCTATGGTATCGTAATGTTGATACTTGTATTTACCTTTTTCTCGTTTCTACTTTGTTTGCCAGTCCCCCCCCCCCCCCCC